TCTTGTAAAGCGTGCTCCAGGACAAGCTAACAATTTGTTTACATTGCTCAGGAGAATTAAATAGGATGTTAAAACCTAAAAGGGAGAATAAGAACAGAAGATCTGATTCTGTTCTTGCTCTGATGCGGATTTTTTAAGTGATCTGTGGAAAAATCACCTACTGCCTTTATCCCCACAGAGTATGGGTCACTCTCCTGCCTTGCTGCACCTTTTTATTATTTGAAAAGACTTGAGACTCTTAAGGTAAATGAGGAAATCTTAAAGTATTTTAAGAAGAAAAAGTGCAGTAATGAGAACCTTGGGGAGTTCCCAATGGACCATGTCTGCTTTGATTCCCATTCAGGGAGGAAGCACTTCAGACACAGGGAAGTGGTTCCCTCCTGTTTTCTTTGGTGTCTTTTTTGCTCTAGGAGACAGATGTGCAAGCAAGTCAATTTTGTCCTTTAGATATGCTGAGAGAGTAATTCTGCCTGAAAATTTCTTTCACCATTAGAGAAAGAGCAGCACTTTGGCCTTAAATAACCTGACCTCCATCAAAATCACACCCTTGACAATCATCACCAGACCAGCGATGTGAACAAAATTTTAAAGATGTTAAGATTAAGTTATATAATTAACCATATGTACCTGCAGAGAAAGCTGTCAAACTTCATGAGGTTACAGAAAGGGCTAATTGCAGGAACAGCTGTAGCAGGTGTTTGTTTCTGCCCTCACTAGGAGCCCAGTTTGCTTAGCTTTGTGGTCAGCCTTACCTTTTCCCAGGCCTCCCAGCACTGAAATCCCAGCTAAGGAATAAGTTGGGATTTGCCATGCATTACCAAACCAACATCAACACTTTAGCCTAAAGATAATGCTTAAACTCCTACCCTCAAATAAACCACCCCCACTCAAGTATAGCAGTACTAAGCATCAGCTGCACAAAAAAGAATTCACTCTAGGCCAACCATTGTGAAGGACCCTAAATCAATGAGGTAGCTCTGCTTGGATCTTCTGTTTAGTAAGATCCCTGAAGAAAGAACCAAGGGTTTTAGATTTAAAAAAGGAAATTATACCACAGTAACATACAGTATGCCTAATTTTTAGTAGATAAAGTTCATATTGACTATGCCAGAACAAATCATGCAGCTTTCCTCATGTGCAGAGTGTCATCAGAACTGGGAACCATTCCCCAGGCTTGGTTTTAAGTAATTGGGCCATTTCCTGGACTGCAGTAAACTTGACCCAGTGCCTGACAGAGCCTAGGAAAGGTCTTTTCCATCACTTTTAAGGGCTGGCTTTCTGCTCTTTCAACCATCTTCTCTCCCTGCTTGTCTCCAAGAATATGCCCTTCAGGAAAAGGCTAATTTTCCCTACTTTTTGGAGAGCCCTAGCACTCAACTCACATTATTTAAAGAAATTTTGCATAAAATCAGGAACAAACAAATCAGGCAAGATTTTTACATTGCCAGGGAAAGGGTAAAGATGTAGGAGAGATTTGCTTATGCCACAGACAAACCAAGTGAGCACAGCATAGGCTAAAGTTTGAATTTGTCACATAAGCCTGAGGAATTGCACATTCAGTTTGTTTTCATATTATGGTCAGGAGAACAGCACTGATCTTAAACTGCTCTTATATTTCACTTGAGAAGCTGAAGGTAGAAATAAAAAACAACCTAACTTTTCATAATGGATGCTATAAACAAGTCTATAAAACTCAGAAAACAGTTACTCAGGTATTGGAATATTAATAATAGGCAATAATAATCTTAAAGAAAAGAATTTTACATGTCCAAGATTCCTTCAGGCCATAACTCTGACGAAGACAAGGAGGAGGTGCAGGCATGGTGCTTGCTACAGAGCCCCAGGATGGGGACCAGTGCAAGGGATGGAAAGATCAGGGCTCAAAGAGTCACTCATATCCCAGAGGACACTCAGGATCCTAAGGAAGCAGCAGAAAAATTCCCAGTTTCCAGACCAGAACTGAACATTTTCATCTACAGGAGGGTAAATCCCTCATAGCAGTAGCAGATTTTCCTATTAGTGCTAACAGAGCAAATTGCCATTTTTGTTCTTGATTTTTCACAGTCCTCTAAATACACTCCTCCTGCTCCCTGCCAGTCTTTCAGCTGCCCCACAGCCACAATGACTTTTGGCTGTCAGCAAATCAGAATAAAAAAAAGGAATGTTATTTCTTCTGATTCATTTACTTGTCTGAGGGGAGACTGTTTTTCAAATAATTTGACTTTGACAAACGGATGCTGTGTACTCAGAAGTGTAAAGTGGTTTAGTAAAGACAGGAAAGAAGATCTTGCCCTTTCTGAAGGAAGAGGTTAGAGACCAGTGCTCCTTTCTGCCAGTGCTTTAATGAAAAGAAAGGAAGGAGTCTTAGCAAACCAGAGCTGGAAATTCTTCAAATCCTCTTAACAAGGAGACTCCTGAATGGCTTATGACACCAAAATCACCATATCTTTTACTGAAATAAACCACAGAATGCTGTAAAGCAGCTTTATAATGCTGTGAAATTGTAGAGGTTTAGATTGTTGTTACTGGCTAAAATGTATAAGCCTAAGTAGACAATAACAGTTTCACAGAAAGTATTTATAGTTAAAATATTTATTTCATAGAGCCCCTTTTTCTTGAAATATACAAACTTTGAAAATTATTGTTTTGACTAGAATAGATTGTTTTGACTAGAAGGATTTGACTAGAATAGATTTGACTAGACTAGAATAGATTTTCTATGTTAATTAATTACTATTTCACAGACTGAAATACAGTGCTGCATCTTATTAACAAAGTGACTTTCCACACCATTCATGTAAAATAGTTTGAGGTGATCAAAACAAATGTACCAAATGATAAGCTTTGTCAAAAGCAGTATCTTGAAATCTTGTTTCACATAACCATTAGAAGTTTATCTTTTTGCCTCACACATGATAGTTTATCAGAATCTTCAGCACACTGTATTAATAAATCTTAGCATTTTCATTAGGTGGAAAATTTGTTTCCACTTTTGAGGAACTCAAATTCTGTCACTATGAAAAGAGCAATAACATAATATTGCAGTAAATACGTATGATTTCTGTAGTTTAAATTAGGTGTTCCACCAAAAAGGAAGAAGAATCTTATCCTGAATGGTTATTAATTAAGCCATCAAATTATCCCAGGCAAAAATAAAAATGTTGGAAAACAATATCCACTTTTTTATTTTTTAACAGCTTCAATATGAAATATAGTCCCTGGCCTGAATGTATGGGAGCCTAAGTGAGCAGTTTTGCCTCAATTCCTTCTCTTCCCAATTTGAGACAAGGAGCCAGAGGTGCAAAGGGAGCAAGATGATTGGTTTTGTTCCCAGCTGCCTTGGGGGCAGATGAGCCCCATGGATGCAGGGCTGTGGCAAAGCTGGCACAGCTTTTGCTCAGGCTGGGCTCGTTGCACAGACACCCAAACTGCTCCATGGCCCCAGAGTGGCACCTGCAGCTTGATTAACCTGAGATTCAGGTGAGGGCTGCAGGGAGAGGATTCCCAGCAATACCAAGACTTCTAGGAAAAAAGACCCAAAACACCAAAGATTGCTTTTAGAGAGTAACGAAAACACTGAGTGTGGGTGAAAGAAAATCAGGGGCAGAAGTAATACAGATAATGCACAAGAACATTTATCTTGACCTATGCAGAAGAACCTTGTATAAATAGGCAGTAAGGGATTAAAATGAATTTGTTTTAGTACAGATACAGAGAAATGGTGATTTTTCTGAAGGCAATACTCCATGATTATTCACAGCCTCTATGGCATTTGCTCATGTCTGGAAAGAACTAAATTTGCAAATTAGATTTGCATTTTCTAACTCTGGACCTTTGATCCAAAAGTACTGCACCAATATTGCAGAATAAAAAAAAAATCAACACATGCAAACACCAGCTAGACAAGAAACTGTCTATACTTTCCCAAGTATATGGGATTAGTGCAATGCTGACCAGCTGATCACACCTCCAATAATTATCAATATTGTCAACTTATGAAATTTTGTTTTTAAGGTTAGTGCAGCTTCATTCTGCATGTTGTCATCAAAGTAAAGATTGGATCTTTAACCCACTCATAATCTAACAGCTGAATTTGCTTTGAGTACTATTAACACTGAACAGCCCTGCCACGCATAAGATGTCCAAATTTTGCAAATAAGCAGAGATCAAATTGGCAAACAAGGTGATAATGGAGAAAGTGAGACTACATGAAAGAGTGGGGAAGAGACACAATCTATGTTAAAGCATTTTTCCTAATTATAGTTTCCTTCAATTCATACTTTAAGTGGAAAAAAGACTGTAAATAGAAAATCAACATGGAAGGGTAATGGAGACAACTTTACAAAAACAGACAAGCAGAGAAAAAGGAGCACTTCAGGTGTAAGGCAGAGAACAGAGAAAGAAAGTGGTGCAAGGACCAGGTAAAAAGAATAGAAGAATTGGATTATAAAGGGTAGAAAACAGAGAAAGGTAATATTTAGGCAAACGCCCATATGGCTCAGGGGTTTGGACTTTTGGATTTATTTTACTCTCACTTTTACCTCTGGTGTACAACAGGGTGAATCAAGTGAATTACTGGAATTGCTGGTGAGATACATCCAATGTGAAGAGACCAGGACTGGGCCATGAGCTGTAAAAGAAATCTGAGGCAGGGACTGAGAAGAGATAGCTGGAGTTCTTTAGTACCTAGATAGTTTGCTTAAGGTGGGAGAACAAGGGAAACAATTAAAAGAAGTGAGGACGAAAGATAAAGAAGACAATCTTTCACACTGAATAGACAAACACTATCCAATATTTCTTCAGGTGACGAAAATGCAAAACCTGTTCATGTCCTGTCCATTTTATCCTTGGACTTGATTCATTATCAACTCTGGATTTACACCTGATTTTATACCATCAATCTTTTAGCAGCTTATTTCCTACACAATCAGCGAGGCAGGCAAGATTCTCCCTTGGCCTGAACTCCTGACAGTGCTGTGTGTTGTCTGGTGTGATTTTACCTTGCCAGCAGGCCCCCACTGTGAGCTGCATGGCGATGTGGGAGGGGTGGATGGGCCAGTCGTTGGTCACCAGGTACGGCTCGTACGTCGTCCCGTCCATGTACAGCGTCACCACGGGGAACTCCACGTTGACCACGTAGTAGTGCCACTCCTTGTCACAGATCTGGGACACACAGCACAGTGTTAGTCAGCTCTTACAGTGGCTGGTTTTTATATCCCATGTGGTTTTCAAATGGTGTTTCCAAATTTCAGTCATGGGAAATAATGTTGCTGTAATTTCTGTGTCTCTAACATGAACGAAAGCCAAAACAATGTTGATAAATACTCTTGGCAAAATATATATTTGCAAAATATATGTGATAAATAGAGGCTTCTTAAAACACACTCTGAAACGAGACATGGATAGAAAATAGAAAAATCAGGCAATTTGGTATTTCATCTGTATTTTCACATTTCCTAATACATAATTATCTTAGGTTACAAATACAAGATGTGGCTGGGGGTATTGCCATTGGTTAGAGGTGGGGCAGTTATCTTCTGTTCATTGGGCAGTTTTCTTTATCTCTTCCCCAGCCACTCCTCCCTGCAGGAGATCTCTGCTGTCCATGGCCACTGAGTGTCCCTGCAGGGCTGATCCAATTCCAGCATCCCATGGGGAGATGCTGCATTGCCCAGGGCAGGAGCCAAGCATTCCTACCTGGATCCAATGTGAGCCTGGCACAGCACAGCAGCCTTTGCCCAGTGCATTCCCAGAGGAGCAGCTTCTGCTGCCCTGCATGGCCAGAGGGAGCCCAGGCCCATCTGCAGCAGCCCTGGAGCTGCAGAGGAAAACTCCCCCCTTGTGCAGGATCCCTGCTCCAGCAGAGCCACAGCTGGCACTGCAGGAGGGCTGAGCCCCATGGGATGGGGCTGTGCCACCCCCTGACACACAGGGGGCAGGGCATGGTCTGACTCTGGCAGGGTTGTTTTGTACTACTGCTTTTTTTTTTTTTTTCCCATAATAAAGAACTGTTATTCCCACTCCCATATCTTTGCCTGAGAGACCCTTAATTTCAAAATTATAATTATTCAGAGAGAGTTACATTTTCCATTTCAGGGGAGGCTCCTGCCTTCCTTAGCAGACATCTGTCTTTTCAAACCAAGATGATAATATTAGTTTCTTAATGCTTGTATCTAGTGTTGAAAACAGAACACTTCATGTAAGATACACAGAGGATGTACTGGCATAGTTACTGAGCATTCCTAGTAGGTTCAGATTAAGAAAATGTACAGCCCTTAGTCACTGGACTGATGATTGCCATTATTAACTTATCCCATCAGTACTTAGAAAATCCTGTACAACCTGCCAGGACCTTGACAGTACTGAAAGGACCTGGGCCGTGGCCTGTGCAACACAGAGGGACCAGCAATCTACAGGTTTGGGCAGGAACTCACCTCTTCTCCACCCTTCCTCTTTTGGCCTGTAGCTTTTTCCCAGATGGGGGGAAAATGAGGATCTTTATGAGTTCCCTGACACCCACCAGCTTTGAAAAGCAACAGCCACAGCTACAACATACTTTCAGGATGACAACATTCGTGTCAAATCACATATGAATTTCAGAGCTGGACAACCAGGGATTACTGCAGGATGGCCAAATTCAGCTTTAGTTTACAAATGTACAGCTGGATGAACCCATGCCTCTAGAGACAGAAGTCTGGTGTGCAAATATCAATGTCTGCCCAATTATTTTTTTCTGTTGTTGTATCTTTCAATTTAAAAGTTCAAAGGAATAAATCACAGCAAACTGGTAGGATGAGTGGGCTGTTTTAAAAACAAAAGTATAGTTGCAACAATGGTGCTTTCAGTTCTGGGGAGATCCTTGTTTTGGTGCATTTAGAAATGGAAGTGCTTGAATGCAGATATGCTTGCTGTTTCACAGAAGCAAGCAGAAAGTGATGTTTAACCATAACATTTTGTCCTTGGCCAGGTGAAGTGCTATCTGGGGCAATATCTCCCCTTTGAAAGCAAAAGCTAATGCTTTGTTCCAGAAGGCATTTCAACAAGAACTTAATTACTTCCATTTCAAACGGATACATTTATTATTGCAGATACTGTAGCAACACAGCAAGAGATAAATGCAGCAAGGGGCTGCAGGGGGGAGCTTTCCTTTTGTAAGCAGCAGACAGCACAAATCTTTTCTGAAGGTTAAATGCACTGAAACCAAACTTGAAAGTAAATAAATTGGAAGACTGAAAACCTTATTGAGCATCTCCAACCACCAACAGTATTATGCAGCCCTGCCTTCCAAGGAAAAACAGCTTGCCAAGCCCTGACCTCATTAGCATTTGATGCATCACAGCCACATGCAGCTGACATTTCTTAGAAAACAACCCTTGTTTTGAGAGACCTTGCATGGCCAAACCTACAGGGTGAATCCCTGGCACCTTGTGGAACCAGAACTGTTCCACACTGTTTCTGTTTTGCAACCCTGAACTGCATCACGTGCACCCCATGTGTGTGACCGTGGTCACAAGGGTTTTCAGGATGAAGAAGAGACGAGAATGTTGACTCTATGATCAGAAGGCTTGATTTATTATTTTATGATATATGTTACATTAAGACTATAGTAAAAAGCAATAGAAAGGAAAAGGTTTCTTCAGAAGCTAGCTAAGCTAAGAATAGAAAAGAATGAATAACAAAGATCTGTAACTCAGACAGAGCAAGAGCCAGCTCTGCCATGAGTGGTCAGTAAATCCAAACACCCACAGGAGACCAATCACGGGTCTACCTGTTGCATTCCACAGCAGCAGATAACCATTGGTTACTTTGGTTACTGAAACTGCAGCTTCTCACAAGGAAAAATCCTAAGAAAGGATTTTTCATGAAAGATGTCTGCGACACATGTGCACCCCAATGAATGAGTAATCCTCATGTTTAACTCAAGCAAGGGCACTTGGACAGACCAAACCAAAACATTTTGGAGGCATTACACCACAAAGAGCACAATAATGTGTAGCCAGTGTAATTAATCCATTAGGCAGTTAGATTTTTCAAAGAAAACGCTTCCTGAAAACACAGCATTTCATAAATTCCACAATTCAAGGATCCTGCAACTGGGCTCAAGTGCTTCCAAGAAAAATACAGAAAATACATGTGTCCAGCTGTAGATGTCCACACAAAGTACTCAGTAACTTTTATTTTTTCTTATACATTCTGGAACATAAGATTGGTGATGTCTGCAAACCCTCACTAACCTACATTTCCTTAAATTTTAACACATAAACACATCAAGCATTGTTTTGAAGGATAAGACTTATGGTCTCAGCTTGGTTGTTCCTGAGATTTAAACAGCACTTGTTGGTCATCTTAATTGTCACCCAATTTCAATCCAGCTTAGGGACACAGACACATGTCTATTCCTCTAAACCATCTTTCAGCATCTGTACTGGGTCCCAGTGTAAAAACAAATACTCTACAAGGAAGCAAAAAATTATTTCCAAACTCTGGAATACATCCCAGTCCTTCAGCAGCAGGTAGTACTTCATGCCTGGCCATTTCACAAGCAACAAAATAATGAAATAAATAATTGTGGCGTGTAATTTGTTATGCTGTTACTTCAGACACCTTCTTTGCCTTCTAAACACAGGAAACCAATTTTTTCCCTGCATGTATTCCACTGTGGCAATGGAATGCAATATGAAGCAGTGAAGCCAGGAAAAGAAAATTATAAAATATACTACACTGGCAAATAAAGAAATTTTAATACTGTCAAGTTGGAAATTTATTTTAAAAATCTAATTTATACAGCTATCGTAATGAGATAAAATCACAGATGAGTGAGTTGGGCTTTCCAAAACTGCTGGATGGCTTGGTCTAATCACTCTATCATGCCAGTCTGCCTCAAAAAAGTATTAATCAAATCACAGTGAATGAAACAGCCTGAAGTCCTAGTGCTGATTACAAGCCATTGCATTGGAATATGCTTTTATGAAATAGCTGAAAGCCTCCATATAAATCTTATGGAGTATGTGACCAAGGCTCTTGGAATCTTCTAATGAAAAACATCAGATTTTTGTGCTTTATACTGGAATGCTCAGGAAAATACTGAAACCAAAGTTCTTGGTCTGAGAAGCATGTGGTGCTTAGAACCAGACTTTGGTGGCCTGCAAAATGCCCCATTTTTCAGCTTTGTCCAACAGGCCAGGTCTGGCACCTGGGAGAATCTGCAATTTCCAGCTCTTGGAGCCTCCCTTGAGTCAGCTGGGGCCAATCCTGGCATGGGGGTCATTCACCTGCTTGGCTGCAGCACCAAGGCAGCCTGTGCTCCCCAAGTGCCCAGGGAAGAGCTGTTCATGCTCACCACGAGCCTCTGCTGAGCTCCCTGCACATCCCTCTGGTCCCCCTCAGCAGCCTGAGCAGGGAAACAGCTCTGCACAGCCCAGTGTGCCCATCCTAGAGAGCCTGAGCAGGGACACAGCTCTGCACAGCCCAGTGTGCCCATCCTAGAGAGCCTGAGCAGGGACACAGCTCTGCACAGCCCAGTGTGCCCATGCCAGGGTGCCTGGATGAGAAACAGCTCTGCACAGCCCAGTGTGCCCATGCCAGGGAGCCTGAGCAGATAAACAGCTCTGCATAGCCCAGTGTGCCCATGCCAGGGAGTCTGAGCAGATAAACAGCTCTGCACAGCCCAGTGTGCCCATGCCAGGGAGCCTGAGCAGGGACACAGCTCTGCACAGCCCAGTGTGCCCATGCCAGGGAGCCTGAGCAAGGAAACAGCTCTGCACAGCCCAGTGTGCCCATGCCAGGGAGCCTGAGCAAGGAAACAGCTCTGCACAGCCCAGTGTGCCCATGCCAGGGAGCCTGAGCAGGGACACAGCTCTGCACAGCCCCTTGGTGCTGCTGAGAGCACACCTGAGAGTGTCCCCCCAGGGCTTGGAGAGGCACGTGTGGCTTCCATCTTCTGCTTAGGAAGTGCTCTCAGAACATCCTCAAACATCCTCAACAAAAGCAGAAAGAAGGGAAGGGAAGTTCAGGGAAGTTTGGGAAAGGGAAGGGGAAAGGGAAGGGAAGGGGAAAGGGAAGGGGAAAGGGAAAGGAAGGGAAGGGAAAGGAAAGGGAAAGGGAAGGGAAAGGGAAAGGGAAGGGGAAAGGGAAGGGGAAAGGGAAAGGGAAGGGGAAAGGGA